ACAAGAGGTGGGGGAAGATTATATGGTGGGACTACACAGGCTGGATGCGATCAGATTGGAAGAGGGAGGGGATGTTCCTCCTTCCGTGCAGCCCTTGGTTCAGCAATACAGTAAGGATTTTCAGTCACCTCAAGGATGGCCACCTCCACCGGAACACGAGCATATCTCCACCTTGAGGACAAGGTGGATTTTTGGGAGGGGAGTATTGTTAGACCGGTTCACTGGACCGGTCCAGCCGGTCCAGGCGGGACCGGCTCAGGCACGTCCCGCTGGGATGCCGAGCGAGCCGCACGGCGTGCGGGAGCCAAATAGGAAAGAAATTTTGGGGAGTTAAGAAGGAAATTTGAATGTAGGGACTGTTTAGGGAATTCCTTTTGATTTGTATGCATTAAATAGTTGTTTTTTCTAGGGTTTGAGTATCTTGAATTTGGCTGAAATTTGAGATCTCGTAGATTTAGGTTTTCTTTGGGCTCTAGCGGCGTCTAGAGATTTGGGAGAGATCGATCCTCCTCTCGAATTGAGGATCAATTGTATCTTTGCTATTTTCCTTGCAACTACTAGTAAATACAAGTCCTGTCTCTGATTTTTCTGCAGTTTTTCCCTGCTTTCCTACTGTTTTTGGCTGTTTTTCTGCTGTGGACAGCAGTTTTACATTGGATCTACTTGGTTTTGGTGAGAAACACTTGGAAATCCAAGTGTTTCCTATCAGATAAGCAATATGTTTCATAAGGATAGATAGTCATAAGAATATATATGAATTGAGAGCCAAAGGTGCATGTAAAGAAGGGGTTGAATAGAGAACCAAAGGAGTAACAATTGAAGCATCCTGTAAAAGAGGCCAATAAGAAGAGTAAGTCATTGGAAAAAGTGATAGTTGTAGAAGAACAACTGGTATTCTTCAATTGACTAAACTCAAAGTAATATTTATTGGTAACAATTTGATCCACTGTCTTGAATAAATGAATGAATACTAGGAAGAAAATCATTCATCGGGTGTTTCTTTCAACTTTTTCGCCAACTAAAACTTCTGATTCATCAATCCTTTTCCACCAGTTTCTTTTCCTTGCTTCCATCTTGAATCTTCCTAATTTGTGGTTTATTAGTTCTTTAACAGTAAGTCAAATTGATTGATCTTGAATGTTGAACTCCTGTGCAATCAAAGCCAAACTATTTGAAAGGATTTACGTAAAGTTTGTAATATACTGAAAATCTACTACCGCTTTCCTTTAAAAAGAAGAGAGAAATCATTGAAGCTTTCATCAGTGTGTTCTGTAACCTAACTGATCATTCGTATATTCTACAACTATAAAATATCTAATAAAGAGGTTTATTTTTCTTATATAGTCTTTTTTTATATTTCCTTATGGAAAAACAAGAACGCAATAAATGAATAACCCCGTGCATTCGGTGCATGCAAACTTTTACAAGTCACAATAAACAGTGTCAAATAATCAGTTTAGTTCACTAAAAATCACAATAGCCAGGTATTGCCCCTTCATCTCATAATGGTGTTTGTGTTTGGAATTTGAAAAATAAGAAAGATTAACCCCAGCATGAAGGTTTTGATCAGAAAAGACACAATACATTTCGGTACCATAATTGCATTCAACAATACGTCAATAATATGCAGACCAGAGAGAGTAGTGTTGAAAAATAAAACTTAAGTTCCGGATGAGAGCACGTTAGGAATCTATAAAATACTGGCAGTAAACGCTCTGTATGATTGCAGTCACCATCAAAACTTGAGCGTAAAAGTTCATATAATCTTCTCTAAATTTTCTTAATCAAACAAACAAATAGATTAAATCTCAGAAAATATGTTATATACGATAGTCGGAGAATATCCCCAACTTAATTCAGCTCCCGCTAGCCATAACAAAAGATCAATAGATTATCAAACAAAAAGAACAGAAGATCTTACCCTCGACAGCCGTATTCTGAGCCTCGCAAACCACCGCTCCTCGGTGAGAAACCCTACCACTCGTCCGTCGCGCCGCCAAAGAAACCCTCAAAGAACGGCCTGCCACCCTTAGACCCTTGAACTCCGAAATGAGGGCTGCCGGTGGGTATCCAAGGGAGGCTGGAACAGCAGCAGCCATCGCACGAGGAGTAGACGACACCACAGAGCCCGGACGAGCGCGCGGAACCGAGAGCGATTCAAGCACAACAGCAGCCATAGCAGAACTAGGAAGAAATGCAAAAATCTCGGCTTCCGAACTGGGAAGGGTTGATCCCTGCTACGATTCTAACGGAGATGAAAGTATGACGGATGTGTAACCCTAGATTTGGAAGAGAAATTGTGGTGACGACGAGGGGAGCTCTACTCTCTCTATTCAGATGGGAACGGAGGACTGGCTGAGAGTGGATAAAGAAAGAGTACCACAGCCAAGTGAGCCCACAGGCCCCGGTTGTGTGGCGGTGACTAATTCTGTAGCCGCTGGCCCATTCCTCTGAATTTTTATTAGGTCTGGTGTCTTGATGGAGCTTTACGACCGGACTCGGGATTGCTATGTATTGGTTGATTTGTGCAGACCGGGGTATTGCTAGGTATTGCTCGATATTGTTCGGCAATAACGAGAAATATCATCCTATCAAGACCAATACCGAGCAATACCTCGATTTTGCTAGATATTGCTCGGTATTGCTCAGTATTGCTCAATATTGCTATGTATTAGTCTTGACAGAATGGTATTTCTCGTTATTGTCAAGCAATACCTAGCAATACTTAGCAATATCGAACAATCAAGCAATAATTGTTGGGTCGTCCGGCCGCACGTTAAAGAGTAAGAGCACGTAGCGACATGTTATTAGCCTCCGGATGTAGAGCTACGTCCGGTGTCCGAACCTAACAATTATTCCATTCCTCAAGAGTTGTAAAAACCTATGCAATAAAAATGAAGTTATTATTGAGGGAAAATTATTACATCCTACGTCCGGATTCACCGGCGAATCAGGACGAGTCACGTCACCCGGACCCCGGTGCATCCGGGTGGGTCCGTCCAAATTCGCCTCCGGACGGTTCGGACGCCTGACATAATAATTCGCCATTATTGAGGGGATGTTTTGTTCATTGTGTGCATCTCTCATAGCTTGAATAAGGGTTCATCTTAACTAGTTTGATTTCGAGCTTCTTTTTTAGTAAGTTCCCATGAGACGAGTATCTTCTTGGGTTGAGGCTTGCTTATGGGAGTTCCTCATTTCAACTTATATTGGTTGTGTGCTCTTTTGGTCGAGCTCCTCTTAAGAGAACTTCATAGGTGAATGCTTACCATTGTTAGATCTTGTTGGGGAGGGTTCCCTTATATGCAAGGAACATCTTGGATAAGCGCATAAATTTGATTGATTCCTATAAATTCACTGAAACTTTATATTGGGGTGTCTAATCATAATTTCAATTGACCTAATAATTAAATAGCACATAATATATAATTAATATGCGTAAAAAAAAATGTATACAAGCCCACATTAAAAATCTCCATTTCAACATAAATAGTATATACTAATTAATTAATTATCTCAAAATAAATGAACTATTTTATAACTAGTCATTCTGAATACAGAACTCTTGAGACCATCTCCAATCGTTCGGCAAACAACCGAATGGAGGCCCTCAAACGTCGCAACCGAACGCCTTTTCCTCTGTCATTTGATCGTGGATGAACAGTGCGACGCCAATATTGGTGTCGCACTGTTCATCTGCGCCATTTTTTTGTCTCTACCGACTACAACCCTTCCTACTTCTGTAGCCTATTACGGTCTTTCCGACCTTTGTTCTATCGACTATGATCCTGCCAACCAAATAAATATGTCTATATTGATGTGCTGTATATTATGTACATTTGTGACATCAAGTCAAGATCTTCTCCTAGGGAAGGGCCTCATTTGTAATCAACTGTAAATACTAGTTGATTCATTCAAATTGAGCCAGGCCCCGTGGTTTTTCCCCTTTTCTAGGGGTTTCCATGTAAAAACTCTAGTGTCTCTTATGAACGCTACACCCTCTCTTTTTCTTCTTGTGTTATGGATCTTCGCACAAAGCTATGACATTACATTTTATATTTCTCTACCGCTGCGAATATTCTAGGACACAACAATGTTAAAAAAATTCACTATGTTTCATAAGAATAGAAATTCATCACACTCAAGGAACTAGCATCTAGCTCCAAAGAAGTTGATAATATAATCAATTACTTAGTAATTCATAGGCATAATATAAAAAATCATCATTAAATACTCATCACTCAATGATTCCTACAAATGAAATTTTTTTTATTAATTCATTATTCTCTCTCATTTAAAAGTCAAATCAATAACTTCTATTTATTAAAATTTTATTAATTTACGCAATGATTATAGTAACCTATCATCACTGATGCATAGTAATTTTCGAAAGGTAACATAGCAATAACATATTTAGGTTGAAAAATATATTTAATCAGATTCTCATCAATGCTCCCAACAAAATAAAAGGACGAAAACGCTCAACGGTCGCAAAAAAATATACATGTTGAATGCTCCCCATGACCTCCATCATAGGCAATATATCGTAGCAATATATCATATATGATCCATGGTAATTCTTGAAAGGCATCGTAACAATACATAATTGGTTGAACAAAATATTTAAGCAGGCTCTCATCATTGCTCCTAACAAAATAAAAAGACAACAAATTCTCAATAGTTGCAAAAAAAAATAATAATAATAATCTTGGCCTGTTGGTTGGGAGATTAAGCTACCAACTAAAATGTCTTGAATTCGAGTCTTGTGTATATGATGCATGTGTGAGTCTGTATTAAGTGGCTTAAATGTCCAAGAAAAAAAAGGCTAATGTAATTAGATGGAGCATGGGCATGACGACCAAACAAGTAAAGTGGATGTGACCACACAACAATAATATTATTGTAGAACCATAAGAATCATAAACAAAATTCTCTTCCATCATAATTATATAACACTAGAATATTCTGACAACACTAAAATATTTTAAGAAGAATATTTAAACGATAAATTTGTATTAAAATTACTATAGCACATTATATTTGATATATCATCAAAAAATTATCTTGATTGAGCACGAATCTTTAGGGAAAAATCTAGTTGGAAACTTCAAAAATTAAAACTGGGATCATTTGAACTCCGATTTAAGCAAAATTATAGTCCAACTGATCGTCTCGGAAATACGAACTCAACGACACCAAATTCAACTCAATCCGAGCTCAAATGAGTCCAAATCAAGGACTTGAAGCGCTGTTGGAGGGTTCGAACCACAATTTGGATTACCAAACGGTTTCCAAATTTGACATGCTTATAGTCGAATCGAGCAGCTCGACGAGACCAATCCAACAATCCCAAGATCGTCGAATTACAATATCATTAAGACCTTCAAATGTCTGATAAACGGTCCACAATTAAAGGATTTAATATCGGCCGTTCATCCAAACCACTCCACATTTGCTCTTATGCTCTCATCTATTTACAAGTCATGCCACTCCATTAATCTATAAATAGACCCGTCATTTATCTTGAGAGGGGACCCAAGCAAGAAAGAAGCAAGAAGAACAAGAAGAGAAGAGAAGAAGGATAAGAGGGAAGAAACCCCTCCTCGACCACTGCCGGAATTCTGCGCGACCTCCAAGTGACACCGAAATTCCGCCCGAACTCCAAGTAACGTCAGGGTTTCACTCGAACTCCAAGTGACGCCGGTGTTTTTGCCCGAATACCATCTAAAGCCGGAGTTCTATTCGGTCACCAATTGATGTCGGATTTCTACACGACGACAGACCTTCGCTCGTCGCCAGTTTTCTACCTGACACTGGACTTCTGCCTGTTGTCAGATTTTCACCGAATAATTATCCAATGTGAGATTTCTATCCATAGCTAAACTTCTACCTGACGCCGTCCTTCTAATCTCCGTCGTCAGACAACAGTCCTTCCGACCACCGAATACACTCATTCCGACCAAACAAACGCATAAACAGTGATTCTTTGTATTCTCATCATGTAATGTACTCTATAAGATGTACATCAAGTTAAGATCTTCCCCCAAGGAAGGGCCTCATTTGTAATCAACTGCAATATTAGTGGATTCATTCAAACTGAGTTAGGCACTGTGGTTTTTTCTCTTTCCAGATTTTCCATATAAAAATCTTGATGTCTCATATGAATGCTACACTCTCTTTCTTATCTGATTGCTTGCTGGATTTTCGTACAACATAAAGAAGCTAAATTTTATATTCTCTACCGCCGCGAATACCCCAATATGCAACAATATTATATATAATATTAATTTTATATAAATTTGGAATTTATGAAGTGTATATTTTCTGATAATTTGATTATTATCCTTAAATTCTCTTAAAAAAAAGGTTCGTAAGAAAGACTTTTATGATAAATTCATGAGATATTGAAACGAAAGCGATAAGATTAAAGAATTTTGGAGCGTGAAGTCACAAAGAACTGAAGAATTCCATGTGAGAGTCCTATAGGAACGCTCGCATAGAAGGAATGACGTGTTTTTCTCCATTTCCACGTCGCATCACACGACGATTAAAATCTCGAACACGTGTTTATTTAAATAAATTTAATTGAATTATTACGAGAACTTAAATTCTATCCAATTAATTTGAGTCGCCCATAGAATAAATTTATTCAAATTTAAAGATGATAAAATCTCAAATTAATTGAATCGATCATATTAGGAAGACCAACAAGAGATAATTATGACTCTAGTTTCGTTTGGAACGGCTTTCTTAATGCTTCTTAAAGCAGATTTTTAGTACAAAATTTTAATTTTTGTATTAAAAAAATACTTTAAGAAGCAATAAAAAAAACATTCCAAACAAAATCTCAGTATTTAATGCTAAGATGATGAACTCACGAAGGACACAGATAAAGTCATCTAGCAATTGAGGCTATTTGGCTAAAAAAAATTTTAATGACCAGCACAAAGTTTGTATTAGATGATTAGGGATTTTCGTCAAAGAACATGATGTGGGCAGTCACTATCAATTCAAAACTCGCATGAAGTTACCGACTAAGTTGGCTATATGTCTAACTCAAAGCTGCACCGAGTTCAATCTATATATTATATTTATTATTATACTAAGTAGCAATTTTCTAATATTGATCTTGATTCTTCGCTTGTAAATAAGGGGGGTCATTGGTCGATCATGGGTATGCAAAAAAATTGCAAATGCCTTGAGTTCTCCCAAGAAAATCTAGAATTCAGCAAAAAATCTCTTTCTCTCTGGCTAAATTGCTTTTGTGTAAATCAGCACGACACATCTTTTGTCCAATGAGATTCAATCAAATTATGTGTTGAAAACCCTAAGAGAATCAACTAGAACAAATTATGTTTTTTAACCAACTCACTTTTCAAGCATGA